AGGTATTATGTACACTATTTAAATTATTCTGATTATTGTCCTCATCTTTGTCGCCATATTTATTACAAAGTTTCGGCCCTTCAGTATCTGTCTATATTTCTGAGATTAGGTATTATGTACATTATTTATATTAACTCGGACTATTGTCCTTATCTTTGTCGCCATATTTATTACAAAGTTTCAGCACTTCAGTATCTGTCTATATTTCTGAGATGAGGTATTATGTACACTATTTACATTATTCGGACTATTGTCCTCATCTTCGTCGCCTTATTTATTACAACGTTTCGGCCCTTCAGTATCTGTCTATATTTCTGAGATGATGTATTATGTACACTATTTACATTATTCGGACTATTGTCCTCATCTTTGTCGCCATATTTATGACAACGTTTCGGCCCTTCAGTATCTGTCTATATTTCTGAGATGATGTATAATGTACACTATTTACATTATTCGGACTATTGTCCTCATTTTTGTCGGCATATTTATTACAACGTTTCGGCCCTTCAGTATCTGTCTATATTTCTGAGATTAGGTATTATGTACACTATTTACATTATTCGGGCTATTGTCCTCATCTTTGTCGCCATATTTATCACAACGTTTCGGCCGGTGTACGCTCCGGCCTTCTTCATGTGGTTGGAATGTCGAACTGAACCCTTTATTTCGAACAGTGGGGTAGACTTTTCTAGATTCACGTGCCATGTTTAATGGATGTCAGTTATCAGTTATCTCCTGTTAATTCCCCTCTCCAAGTTCTCCATTGCCTTAACCGGGTATTGAACTCAAACTCTTTGGGTCCTGTCACTGGATCTAACCAACGCCTTTATCCACTGTGGAATTAGAACAATCTACCCCTGTGAGTGAAATAATGGGTTCAGTTCGACATTCCTAACATCTGAAGAAGGCCGGAGTGTACATCGGGTGAAACGTTGCAATAAATATGGCGGCAAAGATGAGGACAATTGTCTGAATTATGAATGAGGGAAATGTTATGCCTGTCCTCTTCTTTTGTCATAGCCTAAGGGGTCAATGCTGTTGACAATAAGTAGGGTATGATCAATGATTCTTTGGCATTGGGTAGAGAGTGTGAGTAAAGTAAGGCCGTACAACTGTCAACACGACTCTGCACCCAGCCATAAGCACAAGTCAAGAGAGCCATTTTATAATACTGATAGCATATTTGAGCTGTTCGAGAAAGTAAATGTTCATGAGATACTATCATTTCTAAAAGTGGTCGACCACGACAAGGAAATATAAAACAGGTGAGAATTACGATAAAACAATGTTTTTATAATAAAAAAAATATCTACGAAGCCAAAATATTGATAAAAAAACCTATTTGCAGAAATAAAACCAGCAAACTGGATATGTAGAGAATAAATATTGCCTGAAATTCTTCATTGAAGCAAAGAATAACACCAGCAACGGAATTGTTTCTTGACAGAAGCCCACTTTGCAAAAGTGTTAAAGAAACTTGATTTACAAACTGATTTTGTTACAAAGAATACTTTCTTATACATATATATATTTAATATATTAATAACATTTTCATGACAAAAGTTCGCAGGTGTATGCTTTAAGAAAGCTTTATTCAAATGAGAATAGAAGGTTCGCGTATAGTGTCCTTTTATAGTCCCAGTAAACAGAAATAGCTCTCTCTCAAAGAGGAGAGTAACAGAACAAGGGGAGACCACTCTTGATTATTCATAACAAGCATGTTTGAGCTGTTCGCGAAGGTAAATGTGGATGATATACTATCATTTCTAAAAGTGGTCGGCCTCTACAAGGAAATATGAAATAGTTGAGAATACGATAAAACAATGTTTTTTTGTAATTAAAATATATCTACGAAACCAGACTATTGATTAAAAATCATATTTGCAGTAATAAAATAAGGAAACCGGATATGTGGAGAATAAATATTGCCTGAAATTCTTTACTGAAACAAAGAATATCAACAGCAATGGAATTGTCTATCGACAGAAGCCTTCTTTGCAAAAGTATTAATGAAACTTGATGTGCCATTTGAAAGATGGCTTCCAGAAGATAAGCAAAGTATTAAGAAATAGGAAATTTACTTCAGAAACAAAGGAAAGAGTACTGAAATGTTATATAATATCAGTCCTCCTTTATGTCAGTGAATGCTGGACAATCTCCTCACAGACGAAGAAGTGACTTGAAGCAACAGAAATATGGTTCTACAGAAGGATGCTGAGAATACCATGGACCATGTGAGCAATGACGATGTTTTAGAGAATATAGAACCAAAAAGGACACTTATAGTTAACATCATAAAGAGGCAGTTGAAATTTGTAGGGTACATAAAGGGGAATGAAGGTTTAGAAATTTTGATTCACACAGGACAGATTCAATGTAAAAAAGAAGAGGAAATAACGCATACTCTACCTATCGAGCTTGAGTCAATGGATAGCATAACATGGAGAGATAACAAAAAGATCTCTCAAGAGCTACAAAGGACGGGACATTTTAGTAAACCCTGGCTACCAACGTTCTAAAGGGAGACGGCACATAAAAATAGATCGTTCTAGAAGAAGGTCGGAGCATAAAACGGCCGAAACGTTGAAATAAATATGGCATGAAAGATGAGGATGATAGTCCGAACAATGTAAATAGTGAAAATCGTTCAGTTATGACAAATTTTATATAGAAGTTAATGAAGGTGATCACAACAAAGATTGTGTTCCTGATCCTATAGTCCAACACCCTAAGGTGCTTCAAAAACAGAAAACTCAAGCCATGGACGTAAATAACCTCGTCGAATCTAGACTCTCATATGGATAGCATGCAACTTGTTCAGAATTCTCTAAACTGTCGTCTGTCTGCAACTATTTTCTTAGATCAATGATTAAAAATGGCTTCAAAAGAAGTACTCCTTGACTTCTTAAAGAAGGCGATCTTCAATTAGGCCCTGTAGACTGAAACTACAAACTTACAAACAAACATTACCAAATAACAAAAAACACATCCCTTGAAGTCTTCTAAGAGCAACAACAAAATGAGAACAAATTCTTCTT